ACAGTATTTGTTAAATACAACCCAGAAACACCTCACTTTGGTAATAAGACTAAGACCCAATCATGGTGAACATACACAATATATATAGTTCAATACAATTAAAACATTCAATACACGTGTGTAATATTTTTTGATGTTTTTATATTATTCAAGGTAAGCATAATGTAAAATTATGCTATTCTGGAAATTATATGGTTTAGTATAATGGCTTCCTTTGGATAAAGTATAAAGTTATTTAATGATCCCATCAGTACCAATAATAATACTTGACTTCATCCAGGAGATGTATGACAAGGTAATGTTGAAAACAATATGTCATTTGGCACTGTTCTGTGATTTTAGAAATATGTTTAGCTAAAAAGTGTATGTAGTGAAAACAAATGTTTTTAATGAAAATGGGCCAATTTAAGAGTGCAACCCAATAATCAGTCACACCCTGACCCCCCCCCCAGGAGATTTGGTGCCCCACAATGTTGACTTTATGGCTACAGCCTTGATTTTCACCTTCAGACTGCAACACACTTACTTTAAAAATGTGATGCTATAAGACTAAAGTTTTGCATCACTACACACCCTCGAAATATGACAGCCCTGACGCTCGACATATCACAGCGCTGCTCTCTGCCACCAAAGCTGACAGATCCCTCATCTTGATACGCGAGGACGAAGGGAAGGGTGGAAGGACAGGAAGGGAGTGACGAAGAGCAACAGAGAGAACAAGAGTGGCAGGAGTGTGGTGGAGGAGGAGAAAGGGAGGGGGAGTGTTTTTTGAGTGTTCAGCGTGTGGGTGTGTATAGCCTTACTTTGAAGTGTTTTCCCGCTGGGGATGGCACTTTCTCACAGGCCGCTGCCTTGGATCGTGTCACACAGCGATGCACAAGCACGGATAAACACAGGAACTTATACACTGACATGCAAGTGAAGACACAGATGAATGTGTATCCATACACACACACACACACATCTGCCCAGCAGCTGTATGCACCTCACCAGCAGTATACAGCAAACACTGAGCCATGCCTGGCCTATAATACAACTCTGTCTCAGTGGAATAGCATTTCCTGTCATCGCCCCTGTGTCTTTCTATACAAGATGGCTGCAGGAAGAAACAATAAAACACTGACTGTGGCACCGTGGAGAGGCAGCGCACTGTGCAGGACTACACACAGACAGAGTCTGTAAACTCAAGTAAATCACAGGTGGGGCTTTTTGTCTTGCAAATGTAGTTTAACTGGAGAAATGTTGGTGGAATATAGCTATGTAGGCTACATTTATTTAAGTACTCTTAAAGGGTAGGATTTAGTGGCACCTAGCAG